TACTGGTCCCTCACCTCCCTACCACCCAGCTCGTTCTCTCTCCTCCTCTTCTCTTCCATCTGTGTCTCATACCACTCACTGAGCAGTTACCATGCAGCCCAGCCCTGGCTAGTAGAACTTTCTGCAGTGATAGCACGTTCTAGATCTGCACTGTTCAGTGCAGCAGCCCACAAGCCACATGTGGCTATTGAACACTTGAGGTATGGTCACTGCAACTGAATTGTAGTTTAATTTAATTCACTTTAAATAGCCATGTGTGCCTAGCGGCTAGCAATTTGGACAGCAAAGATGTGGCCCTTTGACCTGTCCTAAGGCTTCATGGCCTTCTCGAATGTTACTGACCCTGGTTACAGCGTTTACTGTAGATATGCGGGTCTGCTTCTCACCTTCCTAAATCTTGTTACTGCTCTGAGGGTAAGGGCAGCAGGCTCCCCGGAGCCCCATTTCCACCTCAGGTGCTTGGTATCTCCCAGGCATGCTGAAGGCTCGTGATGGGCTGCCAGGTGGAGCGAGCACTCACCCCTGGCACAGGTGTACAGACCCAGACCCTGAGAGAGAGGTGAGCTGCTGCCCTGCCCAGGCCTCACGGAGCCAGGCCAGCTCCCAGGGACCTCCGTGGCCTGGAGGCTGTTCCAGACGGGAATGGGGAGAAGCCTGTCTGCTGTCTACCTGGAGACCAAGGACACCAAGCAGTCAGAGAATCCGTCCTTTGAAAAAAATCATGCTGGGGAATGTGGCCAAGCCACTGCCATGAATGAAAGCTGCCACATCCAAGTGACAATGAAATTGCAGAGCACCTCAACGTTTATCCAGAGGGACATCTCCACCACCCCATCCCCCCCCAGGCTCTGGCCTGTGTCCTCATCCCTGTCCCAGGCCTCGGTCCCAGCCTGGTGATGGGCGATGGGGGACGACATGCCTTCCAGTACTGTAGGGGTGCGTGTAGAGTGGGGGGAGCCAGGGGACAATGGGACGTGCCTAGGGCAAGGTCTCAGGAGGCAGGGACACTGAAATGGGGAACAGAAGGATGCAGCAAG